AGTTGTTTGGTAAAGCACAACAGACACTTCTTAGGTTATACAATGACAATTGTTTGATATTGAAAGCTATATTCGAGTTTCCTTACTTGAAATTTCAGCCAGCAGCCTAATTTCTTAGTTTCAACACTGCAGGCTTTGGTTAGTTATTGCTTTAGTGGGGCTATTGGGTGGTACAATAAACACTCATTGAGTGTCTTTCCAGTCAGAGGTAACGGTCATGTAATGGCTACTCATTGGGAAAGCAATGAAGCAGGTTACTTCCAAGTTTTGTCAGCCAAAACTGGCAATGGACTGTCATCCTTTGTGGCTAAAGACTTAACCTCTTAACTTATTTGATTTATTTACAGCTTTCGACATGCTGCATTACGCAGCATCACAAGACAGAAACCTGGTATAAAAGAACCTGTTAAGGACCAGGAGGAACAATTAAATATGCTATCAAAATCTCTTTATGGGTCTAGAGTTTTTGGCGGAGGTAACTTAACAGTATGCATATCCCATGCCCTTCTCAATAAAAATGCCTTATTTATTAAGTGTAATATATGATGATTTTTAAGGTGGGTTCTAGTATATCTTATTTTGTAGTCAGTTAATTTTGAGAACATTTCAGAAATGATGATGTAAATGAAGATGGTAATTTTGTTTTTGCAGAATCATTTCCAGCTTAATGTGAGAGTTGTGTGCTTTTACCATTTTAAAAATGGAAATCTACCCTTGTAACTCCAATCAGAATTATAGAAGGGCCAATCCAAGATTGTTAATATTGAATTTCATGTGACAAGTTTTCCATACAAATTTACCACATTTTGCCTTAATATATATATCACAGGATTTTGTTGCTATCATCATTTGTTGTGTCACCCACAACCTAATCATGTATGAGGAATTCTGGTTTGATGGACAGCATTCTGTTTTCTAAGTTGATGTTTAGTTAAATTTTTACTTTCAGATGAAAAAACCTTTAGCTTCAGTTCAGCATCATATTCAGTTGTAAAAAGTGCAAAGAAACTAACTATTGAAGTGCAACTCAGTCAAAGGATAGCAAGGTTTGTGCAATATCCAAATCAGTGAGAACTTTTTTTTTACGTAAGCTCTACTGATTTTATTTTTCAAGTTGACTTTTACTTATGTAACTCCCAAATTTGTAATTATAACAGTAGTTTTCCTTTCAACAGATCGCCTTGTGTTCCACGTAAAAAACTTCAATTATCAGCTCCTTATGACCCATCAACACCCATTGTTAATGGCAAATGGGAACAGCTTGCAATTCCAATCATCAAAGCTGATTTTCCGGTTTGTTTTTGGTTTGTTTTTTTCTCATGAATTACCAAAAAGCTAGTGGTAACTTTAGTCTTCCTTCTCCTTAAACATCCTCTATTATTCATGGTTTTGATAACTAAATGAATAGTATTACCATCATGATAATGGTTTCTGCATTTGATCTTCATCAGTTATCTGTAAAATGTATTTAACATTGCCCACTTTTAACAGGAAAGTAATGGTGTCCCTTTGTCAAATCCAAAAATAAATGGAGATTTACCAGCAAGGGAGAGTGTATACAACATACGAGATGCTGTGTCCACAGAGAACAATAGTGAATTTCAACTTTCAGAGGATTCTGCTCAGTCACAAGCTACAACATTTTATGTGGATTATGAGACTCGCGATGGAAGTGCTAAACATGGAAAGGACTACCATAATTTAAAAGGCACATTGGTGAGTGTAATAATAGTCTTACAAATCCTTCAATTTCAACTGCATGAAATCCAGGGCCAACTCAAGAGGCACCACTGACCAACGTACATTTTCTCAAGTTTGACTTTGCCTACATGTTAGGCAAAGAATAAATATAAAACAAAGCTCAGATTTGAAAATGAATCCTTTCTGAATTTTTCACCTGAGGATGGATTTCATGTCATTTTGATGTCAAAGGAATTTTGAAGATAGAGGCAGCTAATGCTAAAACTTTGTTTTAGATTTTTACCTGACTTTTGATACCTTATTAACAGTGACAGATATTATCACAATTATTATTATTATTATTATTATTATTATTATCATTTTAACATCATTTTCTCAGCTCTTAAGCTTTCTCTGTTTAAAGATCCTGTTGTACATTGTTTCGTTTCATCACCATAATTATAAAATTTTGTTTTCATTCTTCTTTTTTGGGGGAGGTTGTTTCATGTTGTTTTGGTGTGTTTTTCAGACATTTTGTCCAGGAGAAACCAAGAAGACATTAACAATTACAATAGTCCATCATGATGGATATGCATTGGAAAAAGACTTCTATATACTGTTAAAGAATCCTGTAGGAACTGCTGAATTGGGAGAACCAAACTTGGCAAGAATCACAATAATAGATGATGATGGTAATGTCAAAGTTCATTGTTAAGTTGATTTAATCTATATCTTTCATTGGAAGTGCAGTCAAACTTCAGATAAGAGAAGACACACCCTTGGAACCAGAGAAAGGCTGTCTACTGTGGGAATTTTAATGTGTGAAAATAAACAATATTTGAAATAATTCTAAGAATTGAACAATAGATATGTACAGTATATGAAACACTTTTTCTGTGGCTTGAATGCAGTCTTGTGTTATCTTTCAGAGCCTGGTGAATTCTCCTTTGAAAAAGCAAGTTATTATGCAAATGTAGTTACTGGTGATGTCAGTTGTACCATAATTAGAAGGAAAGGTTGTGATGGCACAGTCACACTGACTTACAACACCATGTAAGTGCTGTCAGTAGTGAAAAAAAAAAAAAAAACAAAACAAAACAAATACACTAAGGGCTTGTTATTTACACAAGGTTTAACCCAAACCATGGTTTTACATAATCAGTGGGTCTCAGGCTTTATCTATAATAGGACTGATTTAATTGTCAATAATGATGATAAATGTCCTTCCACCATTTGCTTTTGGCCCTCTTGATACTGTTCACAAAAATGAATATTCAGATGAAAGGTTCAGCTAAAATGAGGATTGTTTAGGATGAAGTTTTGTTAAACCTTTGTTTAAACGGTTGACCTTTGTTTAGATAATCCCATCTTAATCTCCTCAATCTGCATATCCTCCCATATCCTCTCTCTTTCATTATCTGGTAATTCAGTCATGTAGTATTATACAGTTAGGTGACTAAAATTCACCTCAGCATACGTTCATCTGATCTGATGGTATGTTGTTTGCCTAGGAACGGTACAGGCAGTGGTGGGACAGAACAGGAACTTGAACAGAAGAGGTGTGATTATGAACAGGCAGTTGGTGGAAAGTTGTATTTTCAACATGGTGAAACATCCAAGCAACTAATAATAAGAGTGAATCCTGACTGTAAGGTAATTGATAATTGGAGGAAGGTGGTCATTGCTTAGAGAACAATTTTAAATTGAGTGTCAAAAGTAATCCAGGGTTGCTGTGATTTTGCTTTGTTTCACTCTGTGATTGGTCCAGAAAACTTGTGCCACTCTCTCAACCAATCAGATTCAAAACCATGACTAATGAAAGTTGGTCATTTGTGTTTTTCACATTTCAGATAGTTTACCTGTTTTACTTTGGGTTCTCAATGGCTCCATTTCATATTTTCCTAACTTCTGATTGGCTGTCATGATTACTTTGGTTTTGGTGTGAAAACACTCCATTGAAATGTATTCTGTGATTGATTCAATAAATGTCGACTTATGAGTGAAGGGAGGAGGAATATCCATTGTAAGGATTACAGTTCTGAATTGTCTTGCACATTATATAAAGTACGTGACAATTAAGTTGCTCATGATGTTTTTCATTCTTAAACCATTGCAGAACTGCCCTTTTCTGTAAATTAGGCAACATCATAAACTTTTATTAAAATATCAGTGTGCCTAGTGAATAATCTTCTATCAAGGCGTAGTTTATCTTTAACAGTGATTGAATTGTACACTGTTTTATCAAACTTACAGTATAGCAGAATGCAGTAGAACAGAAATGTTGAATGGAAAAATTATAGACCTACCACCAAAAATTTAAGATGACAGATACTGCCTTGAAGTATAGAGACATTAAGCTGGGGGCTAACAAAAGAAATAAGATAATAAAGAAATAAGGCCAATTTTAACATTTTCCATTTTGTTCCACTTTCTCTGTAGAATAAAAACTTTATTGTGTTATTGAGTGATAAAAGCCCTGGTGCTAAAATAGGACAGAAAAGTGCAGCAGTTATAAACATTACAAATGGTAAGC